TTGAACTCAGAGCCTCAGGCATGCCAGGCAAGCTCTCTACCACCGAGCTGTCTCCCAACCCTGTCTTTAACGCTGCTAGTAATTTTTATATTATAGGCTTTCTCAACATCTTATAGCTCTTGTGTTTTCTGACAGCGAAACCCTTGGCTCCCTGTTAAGGAACATTAATATAATTTCTTATTTCCATTACTCTCTTGTAGACATGAAACTGTCTCAAAAAACCCAGTACTAACTCTTCTACTCAATGTAGCCGCTGTGTAAAGTTTAAGATCTCCTTACAATATACATTTTCGTTGTTGCTTTTAGTTTTTTGTTTTATTCCATTGGGGTGGACAGCTAAGAACACCAAGTACTAATGTCACCTGAAATGATTCTTCCCTCTGGGCATTCTTATTTAAAGCATATTGTGTAGTGAGACTCATTTGCTTCTGTTTTAATTCTTCGTATAGAGTCTGCTTGGTTTTCCTTTGAAGCTTAACTTTGAATTTTGCCCAGATCAGGCATCTACATGGTATAGAAATCAATCCTTAGAACAACATATATCCCCAAGGATCTTGTTCCCAGCCCTCTACCCCAGGCAATTTCTCCTGTCCCTTTTGAGGAACTATTGTGTATTTTATTTTTAAAGTTTTGGCTTACTTTTTGCATCTATCGGTTACACACAGACAATGTAAACAAGGAAGTTTTGTTTTTTTTTCTTGTTTTGTTTTGTTTTTCTGTTTTTTTTTCTTGTCTCACAGTTTGAGGGTACATTCTATCATGGCGGGAAGGCCTGGTGGAAGGAATGTGAGGCCGCTGGTCATGTCGTGTTCTCAGGCAGGAAACAGAGCAAGATGAGTTCAGTCATGGACCGCAACCCATGGGAACGTGCCAGCCATGGTCAGGCTCAGTTAAGCATCCCTGGAAATACCGTCACCGACATACTCAGAGATTGTCTCCTAATCTCCTAAGTGGTTCTAAATGCTACCAAATTGACCATCAGACTGTTCCTCCACGAAACACCTGCCCTTGTGATTTTCAGTGTTTCCCTAACAGCGTCATCTTTCAGATTCCAGTTTGGATCCCGCCCACTCTGTGGATCCCGCCCACTCTGTGGATCCCGCCCACTCTGTGGATCCCGCCCACTCTGTGGATTCCCTTGCTAAGCTTGGTTCCTTAGCTCGCTTTCTCCCTGTCAGTTCTAAAACACGCTTGTCTCCCTCCCGTTTCCTTTATCATGAGTTTGGGGTCTTACACTCATCCACTGTTGCTCTGTAAGTTACTCCACACTTGCTTTCTTTAAATTACGTTTCTTGTTATGTTTACTTACTTTGTGTGTATAAGTATGTTACCTGCATACACGCATGTACACCTTGTGTGTGCTTGGTACCTTCAGAGGCTAGAAGAGGGTATCAGATCTTCTGGGACTGGAGTTACTGATGGTTGTGAACCATCCTGTGGGTGCTGGGAACCAAACTCCAGTCCCTTGCAAGGACAACAAGTTCTCTTACCTGCTAAACCATCTCTTCAGACTCCTAGTCTTGTTTTCTAACCAGGTTGTGTGTTCCTTAAGGATGGGGCCATGCCTGGAATTTTAAAGAACATGTTTATATTACATTTTATTTATATTGTGGACACGTTGGAGATGATGTCATATGCCTGCCGTACCCCATGTAGAGGTCAGAGGATAACTTGTAGGAATTGGTTCTCTTTTCTACCATGTGCATCTCACGAATTAAATCCAAGTCCTCAGGTTTGGTGGCAGGCTCCTTTACCCACAGAGTGCTAGAATTTTTTCATATTCCATCATGGTATCTAAAGTAGGCATGGGAACAGAGCCAGGCGGTTCTTCCCACTAGCAATGGTTACATTCTGCGTGCGCACAGCAAACAGCAGATACTGCAACCTTATTCTGACTGGAAACACAGAGCTACATTCCTGTGAGCCCCTGGATGCAATATTCTTATCAGTCAGTGGATTCATAACCTCATTTGATGTGTGATTCTGTTTGAAGACAACCTTGTTTGTTTAATACAGACTTCGGAGTCATTAGCATTGCACCCAGCCGACTGAGCTGTATCTCATTCCTGCACAGCGTGGGGAACATGCATGTCTTCTTTGTAAGACGACACATTGGGCATAGGAATGCCAGACGCCACTTGGCACTTCTTTGGGGGGGGGGAAATTGCACATAGTGAATCACCCATAAAAATATCACTAGAAAAGTAAAAGTCACTCACGGTGATCAATAGAGAGGTCAGAAGACACTAGTAGCCTCAGAGCTGAAACAGGTTGGCAAAGTCACTTTATCTATTTTGTGTGACCTCAAAAAAGGAATGTGTGCATTGAAGTAGCTCTCTCTCTCTCTCTCTTTCTCTCTCTCTCTCTCTCTCTCTCATGCATGTATGTGTTGTTTGCATGTGCATGTGTTAGTGTATGTGTGTGCAGCTATGTGTGCATGTTAAGGCCATAAATGGATGTCTTTCTAGATTGTTCTCTCCACCTTATTAAAAATGTTTTTTTTCTTGCATCTGTTTTGTGTACGATTGTTGGCATGTTTATGCCATGGTGTGTGGAGGACAGCTTTGGGGAGCCAGGGTAGGTCTCGAGGATCGAACTTCCATCATCAGGCTTGGTGGCAAGGACATTTACCTATGGGACTATCAGGCTGGCCCTAACTTATTTTTTGAAACAAAGTCTCTCATCAAACCTGGAGTTCCCTTCTTCAGAAAGACTAGAAGGCTGGCCATCAACCTCAGGGAATTTTCCCATCTCTACTGCCCTGGCACTAGGATTATAGACATGTGTTGTTATGTGTTGTATGCATGTGTTGTGTTATTATGTGTTGTATGCATGTGTTGTGTTGTTATGTCTGTATGCATGTGTTATATGCATGTTGTATTATGTGTTGTATGCATGTGTTGTGT